GTTGTGTGTTGGGTGGGCGTGGGCATGCGCGATGAATACTGAAGGCACAAAGGTACGACCTCAGCACTCGTCTCACTTAAAAAAAAAAAAAAAAATTAAAAACAACCAACCAATCAAATCTTTAGAAAACAAACAGAAAAAACATCAGAGAGGACCTCCCCCCCTTCACCCCCACCAACACACACAACACACACACACACACACACACTCCTCCTCCCTCCTCTTCAGCTTACTTACCGCTTTCCTGTCCAGGAGGGGAGGGGGCGGAGCTTCCCCTGATATTGGCGAGCAGGTAGGTCCTCGTCTGTTCATATCAGTTCCTTTGTGCATCACGTCGTTGTCGTCCACTTCCCCCCCTCCCCCACGTGCTACATTAACATCACCGTTGCCAGGCCAACGGCGCAAACGACCCTCCCTCCTCTTCCTCCTCCTCCTCCTCGCACCGTATGACTCCACAAACTACAGAGTGCGTTCAGATACAGGCGAGCTTGTGTGTGTGTAGATATGTGTGTGGTGTTGTGTGTGTGTGTGTGAGGAACAAGCTTCAAGAAACCTCTCGTAACGTCGACATGTATACACACACACACACACACACACACACAAAACACAACACACACACACACACACAACACACACACACACACACAAGCTACATACAGCCATCACACATTCAAGTATACGTATGAACTCCAATCATTAGTAATATTTTTTTTTTGTTTTTTAGTTAGATTAATAAATAGTGATTAAACTGTAGTAAATAAATAAGAAGCATCTTCAAAATACCCCGCCCTCCCCTCCCTCACATTGATAGATCCACTGATCAATACTGACTTTGATCAATCAGTTCAGACTGATTAACAGGATTACTGGTTAATTTTTTTTGATCTTTAAATTTCTTTTTATTCTCCTTCCGAGCGGTTTATCACCCTTTGTATAGAACCCGATAAATCAATAATGTCGATGCCGTCGGAGGCGCCAGTCACACCAGTCTGTAATGTAAAAAATATGAAACTTTTCTTTATTTCAGATTGCTTTAATTTATCGTTATAGCTACAGTTAACTTGTAATATATTATCTGAACTCTTCGTCACACTGTAGACACACAGATTTTAAACAGTTACATGATTGATAAATTGTGTTTTTATCCAGGTAAAATCTATCGGGTGAAATCTCTAATTCCTACCACGATCAACCAGATCTTGAGTTTGCTTCTTTGAACTCCGGATTACTGCGAAAGCCGTATTAACCTGGTTACTTAGGCACGTAAACGATCTGATAACCAGATTTCGACTATATGAGTTCAGCTTATACCTTCACGTCTCTAACTGTGAGAAGGAAGAGACCTCTGCTGCCAGGAGGCCTTGATCTATCACTTAAAAAATATCGTTGAGATGTTGTAATACCTCACACACACACACACACATTAACAGCGGCGATGATGTCATGGCAACCATCTCTTGTATAACAATTGTAGAAAGTATGTTTTGGTGCAACTCGCAGTGATGTCATAGAGACTAAGGTGAGTTTTGGCGGCCAAAGTCTGCGTGCTGATTGGCTCCCGGTTTGTCTCAGCAAAGCCCAAAGACGCCATGTCAACCCTGTGACCTCTGACCTCACAGGCCCCCCCATGATAATTGATTGTTTGATTAAAATACCCTCAGAGGCTCAGATTACACTGGCTCTGTTTAAAACAATAAGACATTGAACGTAACATTTATAAAGTTTTAAATGAAAAAGCAGAGACGGGACCCGAATGTTGGTTGAGACTGTGCCAACGCTTCGTTTTATGTTGATGGATTGTGAACAGACAAGCGGCCATTGTACGAACAGATAATCCCGTTTAGATCCAGACTGAGTAGACTCGTGAAATTGAGGCTCGTAAAACAATGTTTGGTTCTCTGAGGCTGGATTGTCCCAGTTGTCTTGAATGCAGCATTAAGTATGTGTTATGGAAGCCCGTTCCTGCCAGGAAAAGAAAAGTCAAATTTTTTATTCGTGTAATTTTAATTTTTAACTTAAAAAAACACATTTGGTTAGTATTCTTTGTATTTGGGTCTTTCATCTTTCTTTATTTTCATGAAGGGAAATGGACTTTTTCTTTCTAACATCATTTTCCATTTTTCTGTTTGTTTTTATAAACTTTAATGAGAAAAAAGACATTCAGTACAGGAACTATACTGAGTATACCACACATTTCATTATAAATCTTGCAACTATGTAATATGAATAATATAAAAATGTATTAAATTGTACAAAAGAGAAAAAGAAAACATGAAAAAAACAGCCAATTTTTTTTTTGTTTTAAGTTCTCAATAGTTGTCATATACGTTTTAAAAACAGAATCCATAATAGTATAAACGGAGGGTAATCTTTTAAGCCAAATGTTTTTTTATTTATTCTTCTTTTTTTGGGCAGAAATGGGCTTCCGTAGTGTTTACAGAGCCATCAGAGTAGGCCAACGCACCAACCGCAGATTGTAGCTTTAAACTGATTAACACTGATCTACAAGTGTGTGTGTTTGTTTGTGTGTGTGTGTGTGTGTAGGGGGGGGGGTTGTATAACATGGCTGCACAATGTACAGACACATATCAGCCAACTGTCGCCACTCGTCGCCTCGGGACAGACGGGCGACGCCTGCTGACGGCAGGGCGAAGCTAACACTAGCCGATCGACCGCTGGCGTCCAGCCGCTGCACTGAAGTTTTCTCTACAGTGAAGCTAACACTAGCCTACTGCTAACTGACTGCTAGTAGCATCTAGCACATTTGTATCTGGTAGCTTCAGTCGCGGTGAGCTCCTCCACAGAGGTGCTCCCGTGAGCTGTTAGCATTAATGTGTTCTTTTTTTCCTGTTGGTACCTCAGACTGCTCAGTTATCATTATTATTATGATTATTACTGTTGTCATTGTTGTGACTAACACCCAGGGCATTTGGTTGAATCTACCAAAGTGCATTCCTTTTACAAAGCTAGCTGAGAGCTGGCCGCTCAAACAGACAGACAGGCAGGTCGAAGGTCAGTGCGTCTCTGCGGCCAACAGATTTTATTCTGAAATGAGAAAACGAAACAAAAACAACCCGTAATTGTTTTGTGAGTAAAATGGAAAACAAAAAAAGATTACCTGTTATTATTTTTTTGTTTCGAAAATTTTTATCGTCAGTGTTTCTATTTTGAAAATGAAAAAACGGGCAAAAACAGGTAGTTTTCTAAATAAATAAAAAAACAACCTGTAATCGTAATTGTTTCGTTTTGTAAGAAAAATGGAAAATGAAAAAATAAAGCAGATTTTTTTTATTTTGAAAACAAAAAACTGATAATGGGTCGTGTTTTGTTTTTTGTTTTTTTACGTTAAAAAACAGTTTTTTTTAAAGTAAAAACAAACAAATGACCTGTTTCCCATTGTTTGGTTTTTCTCATTTTAAAACTACAATCAGTTGGTCACAGAGTTACCGAATCTACTGACCAGAGAAAGTAGGACAGAAAGCAAAAAGTAAGTGAGTATGGAGGCAATCGGAGGAAAAGCAGCAGCTGCCTTTCAGACAATACGGAGGCGAACATGTGATAGTGTTTTGTTTTTTAAACAGGTTTTTATAAACCGGCTGCGGT